ATTGGTAAGATTGAATAGCAACTGAGGTTAATTAATTGGTTGTGGTTTGGAGCCGATTGGATTGATTGTTGGTAGAGAAAGGTACATTGGATTGAGCCTGAAAATCACCGATTTGAAGATCTTTCAAAAGAGTTTCCGCAACACGATAAACTGTGAAAACATTCCCTTCACATTTATTTATTTTTTATTTTAAAACTCAGCAATCGAATGTCCAATAAAAAACTTCCTCTGCTTTAGCTTTATTTTGAAAATATCTTGTTGAACTCTCGACAATAATCTTATTTATTTGCCATTGACTTAGCGAAAATTACGCTTAAAATAAGTATAAAATTAAATTAAAAGATAGGTACTAGAAAATTAGATATAGTTTTGAGTTTTATGTAATAATTTGTTTATAAACTATATATCAGCTCTTGAAGAGAGAAATTTTACATTTAGGGTAACTATATACGTCAGCCGTGAAAGAAAAGGTTTGAATTTATTTTACAGGTAGAATCTTTTCCAAGGCTTTCAGCTGATAAGATAAATTCCAACATACCTGTCTGTCCTAAAAAAATCACTCTTGTGCTAGGTACGGTTTAAATCATTTACTGTTTGGTAGTGTTGCTGGCCAGAATAAACGTTTTAGTATTTCAATATGTTCCCATAACCTCCAGTCCATTGGATTTTATTCGTTCGCATATATTTTTTAACATAGAGAGTATTTAAAAATAAATGATTTTAGTTTCATTCTTATTTCTGTTGTTGGATTGATAAAAAGAATCGGGTTCTTATCTCTCTATGTATATTCTAGGAAAACATGATGGCGTCAAAGACACATGTAGTTGAAATGCATGAAGGAAACCTGGGTGAAGGTCAAGAACTCAATCAACAAGCTAAGAGAGACTGATTTCGCCACACCCAATATCAGATTTTTAAAATGGAAGCGTATGCTAAATTTAACATTTCTTTCTCTTTTTGGATGAGCTGAATATTGTACATGTTTGGAAACTTTAATTTGAGAACACATATCTGCTTTATTTGTGTATTAACAACAAAGTTTAGGTTTTTCAAGGAGTGTCCACACCCAAACGTCAAGCAACAAATGAACTCAGCCATAATTTAGGATTGGAGCCCTCGCAAGTTAAATTATGGTTCAACAATAAGCGCGCCAAAATAAAGGTACATATAGACATACAAAAATGTTGTTTCATTTTTTTGCACACATGTGCAAAACGAGTACTATATATGTGTGTGAAAGCTATCTTCTCCATTTTTGTGTATATTTCAAAATATTGGAACATTCACATTCCCACAAGACAAAATTAATACGGACTTCTCAGTTGTAAATAGTTAATACATTTTATACGAACAGTATATCTTGGAAAAAAATCAACTTTATCTTCTAAAATCTTTAAGCCTTATTTCGTGGTATTATGTCAACTCAAGTAAGTTGGGTCTTTTGTATATAATATTCAGGGAAGGACACCAAAAATATAATAAAGCCAAAATTTGTTTCGAAAGAAATTTCTTTGTTCTCATCATTTTAATAAATTTTTTCCTATCATAATTTTTTTTCCTGGAGTTTGGACTTCGCTCATATGAAGAGGGTTTTGATTTTCAATTATTTTTATTCCCTCTGTTCGCTGCTGCTGCTTCTTCTTCTTCTTCTTCTCTTTCCATTTTTATATATGTATGTACATATCTAAGCTCTTTACCTTTTGTATCCACCACTGCCTTGGATTCTGATTTTGCAACAAATGCTAGATATATAACACATAACAAATATAGTGTTTGGGTTATTTATCGATGATAAAGAACTATAATCGAACACAATACACTTAAGTACTCAAATAATAAAATGAAAATAGGATAAAACAACAGAAATTGTTGACCCAGTCCAGCCAAACACGACCTAATTTGGGGGGGCTCAAGAACTGAACCCGTTCTACTATGCAAATCGCCGTCCAAGAGAACCAAAGTTACATCAAACCACTTAGAATACACAAGTTTTGATCATCGATCAAAGGATCTACGAAACCAAACATAAATCCTTCCACAACACTTAGCCCTAACCAACAGTAAGTCAAACCGAAAACAGCATAGGCTCAGAATCACACCTCAAGTTACTGTAGCATCATGATTTTATAAGGGCTAATCTAAAACTAGGATTTAATCTGAGAAATATATTAACCAAAAAACCAAGAAAAGAAGTGAAAAAATCGCACGCTGGCGATGAAGAACCAAAGAGAGAGAGAAAAATTCTAGAACTAAGAAAATGAAAAGAATGAGCCGTCCCTTTCTCTCTCCAATAGTCATATTGGTTCCAAAATTTAATCCCAACCATTCATTCAATTAGACAAATCTCAACCATCCAAAAGAAGCACAATCTTTGGCACAAGTAACCATCCATTTGGGGGCTGCCACGTAAGGGCCTCCTTAACCTAAATGTAGTTGAGTCAAATGTCAAGAATAACACTAATTTGAAAGTGTTTTGAGAAACACACTCGTTCAAAAAGATTACAACTGGGTCTTCATTGGAAATGTAACAATTAGGTCTTCAACCTTTTACTTTCATAGCACTTGAGTCTTCAACAATACAACTTATGTTTGCATTATCATTGAGAAAATGAGATGAGTGTAAACTAGCTCAAAAACCAAAACAAATTCGACTAAGCAACAGCTTCATTAAATGTTGTTCAAGAAAATTGAAATGTTCAGTAATTCTAATATAGCGTTGTAAACTCATTAGCACGATCTCTTTCCTCAAGTCGAACTTCTATTAAAGATAGATCAAGTTCTTTACAAGTCTAGCAGTGCCATGCCCTGTCTGGGATGGGTTTGCTTTACATAAACGGGGCATGTGGGTGATTTTGGGCCAAGACTTGTTGCTTATACGAGATCGTTGATAAATAATAGATTGAGAGTATCATCTCACAGGAAATAAATTTAAATTCAAGTTTACTAGCTATGGATGAAATTCAAATTATGTAAAACAAAAGAGAGATTTTGATTTATTTTTGCTAAATATATCAAGAAAGCAATAAAAGTTTGATTTTTATCAAATTATGGATGATAGGATTGGATTTCAACTCCACCTATTGTTATATATTTTAATTATTGATTTGTAATCTAGTTATGTTCATACGTTCTTGACAATCAATAAAGCTAATATATTTCACTTTCTTTTCCAAAACAAATTAATTTGTCTAATCACGACCTCAATCTATTCATAGCCCGAATTCAAATAGTTAAAATGCATTAAATTTTAGATTATTTATAGAATTGCACAAGTAATTAAATGTTATTCTTAACATCTATTGCACATATGTTAATTTTGTTGCGTTCTAAACTTATTGTAAATCTCCCAACGCTACAATAAGCAACTATTGTTTAATTGATGACCAATCAATTAAATAATGCAATAGGTGTGGGTGTGCAAAAGTAATTAAAAAACGCAATAATTAAACTAAACTTCTAGTCTCGAATTTAAAATAAATAAACAATAGGGTTCATCTAATCTAATAAAAAAAAAAAAAAAAAAAAGAAGCAAATAATGGTTTTGAATAAATTACAAGAAAAATAATGAAAGCAAAGAATGGTTTTGAATAAATTACATGAAAAATAATGAAAAATATAGCAGGATCATGAAAGAATACAAATAATGTTGATCTTCAAGTCCATAAGTAATTGACCTTCAATTCTTGATAGGATTTGATCTTCGCTTCCAAAAGTAATGAATTGACCTCTCTTCTTATAAATTTGATGATATTATTAAGTATGAAGATGCAAGAGAGAGTTCTCCAATGTTTCTCCCAAGTTCTCTATTTAGAAGAGTCGAATTTAGGTCAAGAAATCGTTTTAGAGTTGTTACCAATAAGAGTTTGAATCAAGATAGGAAACTAGCTCATTAGCAAAATATTTAGCCTGGGTACACATGCAAGTATAGCTACTTGACTTGCTATCGGGGTCATGAATTTGATGTCTTATGCATGCACCAAAATAGCTAACGAGCGCACGTCAGTTTGCGTGGCGTCGTCCTCTAGCAGCTTTCGATATTTTGGCTATAACTTTTTTTCTCAATATCCAACTGAAGTGATTCAAAATGAGTTAAAAAGATAACTCCAAGGATTACAATTCTTCTAGAAGTACAATTTCACCAATTCAAACATTTGCTATTCGAACAATTGATCTCAAATTGAGACTAAGAATTTAAAACATAACTTTTTTCGGCTGAAAATTGATTTGTAAGAATACTTCGACCATACCCAATAAACAAAATTAACATCTAATTAAGTCGCGAGTCATAAAAAATTATTACAAATAATCTCATTTAATGACCTAGATAAGTATATTTATTACCTCTGCCTCACCCCATTCGTCCAAGCAATTAATAAAAATCAATTTATCCCTTGTTTGGGGTAGATAAAAATCAAAATTTTAATAAATTTCGACAAAAGTTGATGAGATGTGTGGTTTAAAAATTGTAGACCTTACAAAATATGTATTTAAAATGAATTGTTGACTGTGACTTCAGATAAAAATCAAATTTTAATCAAACTGTTTTGTTTTTTTTTTTACCATAACCACACTTTCTTATGCCCAAACCAACTATCCAATCCAACTAGCCCAACTCCCAAATTACCTTATTGCTCATTGAATTTACTAGAAAAAAAAAATAATAATAATAAATTTTAAACAGGACAGTAAATGTTGCGGGATGGGACAAGGCCGTTTGGCATCCGACCCCAAAAACAAGTTTTTGCTATTTGAAACGAAGTGAACTGGTCAAACATACTTTTTTATTTGTAAGAATCAACAATTTGATGTCCATTTATTATCAACATACTCCGTATTATCATATCTTATAAGCACTAAATTGAGTAAATTCTACCATTTACTCCACTGTTTTTATTCAAACCTTCTTATATATCTAAAATGAACTAAATGTGTCAAGAATTCCAGAGAGATCACAACTCAACAAATCTTGCCTTTAAAATGCAGCCGTTCCACTAAACAAATAAATAAATACCAATAAATTAGCTTTAATAAGAAAAGCAGCACAAATCACGCAAAATGTGATGATTGCAGCATGGTTAACTCAGTTATACCATATGCATTTTGACAAGAAAAATCTCACTCAATGAACGCAACTTTCTATAAAACTGATTTTAAAACAACTTTAGCAAAAATCAGTAGTAATTATTGTTTTCAAGCAGATTTCTACCTAGTTGGAGCACTGCTACTGGGGATTCCGAAAGTAAAATCATAAATCAACCAGATGTTAACTTCTTAATGTTTCTCGAACCAGGGACTTCACCTGCCTTACTTTGTACTGCTTCCATTTGTAACTATCAGGTAGTCCATAATTATGAGAAAACTCACCATTTAGATCTTCTGGTACCCTGGCCTTCCCCTCGGACATCAGCAAGTCTCGACTTTGAACCATTCCCAGGAAGGATATTTGGTCTTTCTTGAATGGTACTGGAAGCGTCTCGTAAAGGCCATGGTTGCTCCCTTTGCCGAGTAGGACTCGGAAATTCTCGGACTGGCCCTAACCTAGAGCTTGATAATGCATGATCCTTAAGACATTTTACAGATTTGTATCTTTGAGTTTCATCGACATAACTTCTTCGTGGAGCTTCCCTCTCGAGTTCATGAAATCGCTCCATATCCAACCCATCGCGACTGCTTGCACCTTCATTACCCCATTCGACTCCGTCTGACATACTCCTCAGAATAGAAGTGCTTTTCCTAGAAACCTGCCCAAATACTGAGTTCCTCCCTTTGATTTCATCGTCAATGGGTAATCTTCTAGACTCATGACTAGCAATGGAGTTATAAGCCTTTTCGTAGATTCCATTACTGTGGTCCATGTTCAATTCAATTGAATGAAGATCACTCTCTGCAGAATCTTCTTTGTCGTCTATGGCATCCTCGACTTCTCCATCATCTTCTTCATTCTGACACAAACCAATGTGAGACTGACTCAAATATGCTGCTTTTTCTTCATCTTTGCCCTTTTTTGATCCGAGGAAAGCTTCCAGTTGTTTCTTCAACTTGTTAACGGCAGAACTTTTCTCTTCAAATTGGCGTTTAGACTTGTAGTTTTTCACCTGGACTCTTCCCTCACGCAACTCCTTAGCTAACCATAGCATCTCTCTTTCCTTCCCAACATCTTTGTGAACTTTTGTAGACTCCCTTTTCACTTCAACACTATCTTCATCAACATTCCGAGCTAATTCATCGCATACCTGTTCCGTTATTTCTCTTGCTCTCTTCTCACTTTCCAGTTCTTTAACAGCTTTCATGAATGATGATTTCATTTCTGCTAGTTCTTTTCCAAGTTTCTTGTTCAAATTCTCAAATCGATGTCTTAGCTTCCGTTCTACGTCTAATTCACCAGCAATTGACTCGATAGCAGACTCAACAGTTTGCTGCTCTTTAATTTTCCATGCTGCCTTTTCTTCTGCAACACACTTCATGAGATGGTCAATTTCATTTTTGTCCGAACGTTGTTCTTGGATAAGCTGATTAACCTGCAGACAAGCTCTCTCGAGCTCAGCATGAAGCGCTGAGATAAGGGACATGCTAGATGAAGGTTGATCTGCACGAGCCCAAATGCGATTGATAATTTTCAGTAGCTCTTTAGATGTGGTCAAAGCATTGCTAATATCCTTAAGACGATTCTTAGCACCACCTATTGATCCACTTTGAGTCTCGGCTCGAGACCGAGTCTCAATCTGCAGTTGAGATTTAATAAAGTTCTTCATGATATACTCAACAGAATCTTATCAGAAGTCATCTCAATAATTTGATTGTAAAATTCTTTTGAACTAGTACTAGTATTAGCGACAATATGTTGAGAAAAAGTATAGAAAGAATTTGAAAACAAAACTGAAAAGAAAAAGATGAAGCAAAGATTGGTTAATCTCAATCTAATAAACGAAAAAATAGAATTATAAATAAGCCAAATTCAAACAAACGACAAGACAGGAGAAGGCAATCTGATTACCTCCATAAAACTACCGTTGCTTAGTGAATCAAAAGCTCCAGCATTTTCCCCTGTAGATGTAAGCCTCTGGACAATTGATGGTGTCCTCCTTTGATGACCCTTTCCAGAACGATCCATTCTCTACAAAGCCCCAAAGAGAAGTTTTAATTTGTAAAACTAAATTCTACTTCGAAATGCAAAATACACAGTGGAAGCCAAAGAAAGAAAAGAACACCAACTAGAACTTGGCAAACATGGTCTCAGAAAATAAACTAGTAAATGCAATGTTCTCTCCATTATATGCTCCTAAAACTTAAATAGATTGACATGGTCTAAAAATAAGCTGCTGCTTTTCTTTTTCCTATTTTAACATTGGAACATTAAAAAATATATGGATTGGAAAATGCAGATATATGGAGTTATAAAACTAACCCACCTCGGAGATAGTCGGGCTATGAGATGGATCGGACAAATGTGGCGGCAAAGAACCAGAACTTGAGTGCAAACCCGATCCAGACCGCATTTTATCCCGCTTAAGCATCATTTTACTGCTGCCATTCTTCCTCTGCTGCTGCATTAGCTCCAAATTACTCTCACTCATTTTGGGTGAAGGCATCTCATTCATTCCCCACAGAGTAGCTGCAAGTTTCCGAGCCGACACCGGTTGAGTGGACATCCCACTTTGTGAATACCTAGGAGACTCAATGTCAATGGTGCTCCTCAAAGGAGTAGTTCTCCATGTGGGCACCGGGGTACCGGATCTGGATCCTCCCAACCCGATCCCAAGCCCCAACCGATTCTTTCCCACCAAAATGGCCCGCTTATTCAATCTGTTACTGCGAATTCTTGATGATGAAGACGAGGGTGATGAGCATTCCCTTTTCCGGGTCTTAGGGGGCACCATTAGCCCTTCCATCAAACCCCTATAACTATGCCTTGGCATTTTCTCGTTTTCCCTTTATTTTTAAACTTCTTGTTAACGATATATATATACACTTTTAAATTTCAACGATCTATATTCAAACAAAAACGAAAAATCAAAAATAAATAAACATGACCAGAAATGCCCGAGTTTAAAACACAAGAATATGAAGTGGGTTTGAAGATCTTACACTTAAGTTACTGTGGATGCCTTGACATTATAAGTTCGCTTCTTGTCAGCATCAATTGTTGTTTAACTTCAACCCCTTATTGATCCAGATATAAAAGAAAAAAGGAAAACACAGAAAGATATACTTAAATATGGAATATGAGCGAAATTTATTCAGTGGGAGTAAAGTGGGGTTTACAGAATGTTTACAGCTTGAATTGAAGAAGGGAAGAATTAAAGATGGAGATGAAGGGGAGACGAGTAAGGGAAATGCTACGTATAGATAATTATCTATATCCATAATTAGACATGTTATTGAATTCAATTTTTAATTCAAATTTCATACTTGTAGATGATTGTCATATCATATCATGAATATTATTATGTACAATAATTATGTATAAATAAAATTTTCCGACGAGTAATGGGTCTCTTGACGTGCATCGATTTGAAATGATGCCAAAAAAAGAAATTTTAATTTTGATTCAAATCTCCATTTCAGTAAATGTACTACACAACCGAAGAGCAATGTACAAGTAGAATCGAAAGAAAAGGAACGTGGCTGATAATAAGTGGGTTGTACTAGAATGTCTTTTTTGAGTTTTTTAAAGGTTAAATCTCAATCCCACCGTCCCATCACAAAAAGTCTAATTTCATATATCTTAAATCGAATCATCACACTGCGGCTGTCAGTAAAGTTGAAACTACCTCACTCCTATCATTTGCACTATTAAATTATTCCCCAGGGGTCTTTTTTGAGTTTTTTACTTTGAGATAGATCTGTCTAAATTTGATATGTCTAACTAATTAAGCCCTTGATTCATTACATTAAAATTTAAATACATTTTCACTCTCTTATTCAATTACACATTTTTAATAAAATCATATTACATTTCGAATTTTTATTTCAAAAACTTGTTTTTTAAAAAACATTATTCTAAGTCAAACATGACCAAAATTATTTTCTTGATTTTCTTTTCCCCAGTATTTGGCTAATTGTTTCTAAGGGTTCATAAATATTTTGTTCAAAAATTATTTTGGACATGAGTCTGTTTGGAGGTGATTTTGAGAATTGATTTTTTTACCGTTAGGAGAAAAATGGGGTTCACTTATGAGAGAAGAAATCAAATATAACGACTGAAATAGTGAAATAATGGTCAAAAAATCAATTTTTTGGAAGAAAAATCATTCCCAAAAAATCACTCTCAAACATGCTCTATATCTCATGAGACTCATAATACTACTCACTTCTTTACGACTCATTTACCCCTGTATATACTATTTTATATGACCTAATATATTTGACACAATCAAAGTATTATGCTAGGGGTGTTTGGGAGTGATTTTTCATCCTAAAAAATTAAATTTTTGACCTTTATTTTATTATTTCAGCCGTAACTTTTGAGTTCTTTTCTCACATGTGGCCTTCACTTTTCTGCTAACGGTCAGAAAATCAATTCTTAAAATCCTTACCGAATAGGGCCTATATATGTCTAGTAAAATATTTATTTTCCAAAAAATAGACGAGTGTAAAAGAAAGTAGTTTATCCTGCTTAAAGAAAGACTTCAACAAGAGAGAGAGAATTTTATGCAAAACTTGTACGAGCAAAGATCTATGACAAAGATAATGCATTTCATATATATATTTACTCAAGAGAATAGGTCATGAAAGATAACGTGTCTCATAAAGAAATTGAAATTGTTAATATTGATATCTGATTGGCGTTGTTGCTAATAAATCACTAGCTTTATTCACGTCCATGCATAAAATTTTTGCACACTTGAACAAACAACTAAAAGTAGGTGACCTTCTCATATGATGGAGAAGGAAATTGTAAACACTTCAACGATCAAATTAGTCAACTTGTATATTTGGGTGTGGGAAAGACGGAAGACGTGAGCACGAGAATGGGCATCGAGTTTAGAGAAAAAATAATTATTGAGAGCATAAAGTTACATTACCTTCAAATAGCACTAAATGTGGATTTTTATATTAGAAGATGCGAAGTGGTTATCGTTGAACGAAAGATACATGTTCTCATCTTAGCGCGTGAGATGTCTTCTTCTAAATATCGCTTCTACAATCCTAGATTCAGATATCATTTAATGATTCTGAAAAGTGGTTATCCTATAGTTTAGGTTTGATATCTGAAAAGTAAATTGACATGTTGATTAAGAAGTGTCTGTTGTAGAGATGTCACATCAATCAATTGCAGGAAATCTCTTGGAAAAAGTGAAGCTAAGAAGATGCATTTGCTTAATCAAAGCTCATACCTTCTATATTAAGCTATGGCAGACCGTGACACCTTGCCTCGACCATGGGGATCGACCCTTACATTGCACATTGACAGAGGCGATGCATCACTATGACTTTCTCTTTTTGATGGTCTCAATTACGCCAGGTAAGCAAACGATGTGGAATGAGAGTCTGAAGTGACTCTATAGCTAGTTTGCCACGTGGATCATGACTAGAGCTTCATGGGATAAAGTGTGAAATAAATCAAAATGAAAAAAAATTGAGACCACCCATAGATTTCTAAGGGAATGCTTGGAATATTAAATCACCAAAAATAATAGTAATGTAACACTAAGTTTAAAATTTATTTCAGAGAACGAAACTAAAATCAAAGTGAGAGTTAGATAGTCAGGACCATAGTTGGGACCCATTCGAAATAGCTTTTGAAAAGTCAAAATGAGCTTCTGAAACCTAAAAATTACTTTTGGACCTCGTTTAACTAATTTGATGGAAGTTCTTATTCTAATAACTAGAAGAACTTTTACAAGAAAGTGGTCCAATGTGACTTTCTATAAAAGCACTTTAAGAATAAGATGCTCTTTTAAAAATTAGTTTTCAAACAAAAATAAAAGTAACTTCCTCCAAAAACATTTTTACAAAAAAGTAAAAACCAAAAACAAAAGTTATCAAACAGGCCCTTAATAATTAGTATATGGGCACAACAAGAGTGGATTCTTCAAGTAATTTTTCAACAAAAATTATAATATTACAGTGCATAGTAACTTCCATCACATGATACCTTCAGTAAGGCGAATTAAACGATATAAAATAATAATAAAAAATCTTATTTATTATGTAATCGGAAATATAATATGGAGTCCATTTGATTTTTTTTCCCTATCTCAGGCCAAAGTACAAAAGGCCATAGTTATCATGACTTTGAATAGTCCGGCATCTTTCTCAAAAAGAAGAGTAAAGCTAGCACTAGTAGCACTAATTATGTAGGATGAATATCTTAATCGGAATTGAAAAGGAACTAAGCCCTTTTAGGTTCTATTAAAATCAAATTTTAGGGAAAAATAAATATATATTTTGAAATAGTGATTTTTCGAAGAATATGTGATTTTAAAAAAAAAAGGAAATTTTTTGAATTTACGTGCAATATTATTTTATTCGAGAATCTATGATTTAAAAAAAAAAAAAAAAAAAGAAGAAGAAGAGAAAAATGCATTTTAAATAAAATGAAACTCAATCGGGGGCTAAATTATGATTCAATTCCAAAATTACATGAAATTGACTGTTTGATTTAATGAATTATACTGAAATTAAATGGAATTATGATGGATGATTTCAGTCAAACCACCCAACTACCATCTTTATGTTTATGTAATATTATCCAATGAATAAAAATGCACTATAATTCCGTTGCTTGACCCTAATTTCTTAAAATACTTTTTTTTTTTCAACCATACATTTTTTGGACCCATAACTTCTATCAAAAATCCACCAAAAAATCGATTTTTAGCCAAACCAAACAAGGGTTCATTGGACAATGTGTAGTAGCTGCGGTGCCACATAAACCTGTGCTAAATAGCATTATTACTCTAACAAGATACACAAATCGCTCGCCTAAAATTTTATTTGGTTAATTTCAGTATTAATTACAATATTAAAAATTCAAAGACAATTATGCTAATACACATGCGCCAAAATCAACAAAAGTGAGTTTGAAACTCGTCTCATCAAGCGATATTCATAAGAAGACAGAATTCGGCAGGTGCAAAGGCATGTGCCAATTAGTGCAAACCTAAATTCATTCAACTTATATTTTTCCCCATTGATTGTTGGCACCTTGTTATTTATCTCTGAGATCTTCAGTGGAAAAGATGAAAACGCCCTCTGCTTCTACTGATTTTCAACATGGCCATCCAAGTAAGTAATGGCGACTGCAGCATGTAGTGCAGCTCCTATGGGAAGAACGTCTTCATCAATAATGAAGTGGGGCGAATGCCACGGTTTGATAGGTTTGGTCGTCTCATTTCTTGTTCCAATCATAAAAAATGTAGCAGGCATCTTCTGCGAGTAGAAGCTGAAATCTTCAGCTCCCATAGTCATTGGGGTAAGCAGCACATTATTCACCCCGAGCAACGATTCCCCAACCTTTTTAGCATGTCCGTACATCACAGGATTATTGATCGTAACTGGATAAGGTATAAGTTTCTCCTCCATGAAGTCGACCGTCGCAGTACACTGGTGGACAGCTGCTTGAGTTTCCACAAGCTGTAAGCAGTGCATTCATCAACACAGTCTTTTTCTTGTGTAATTGCAGGTAACATATTAAAGAAATATTTAAAGGAAGAAGAGTTAAAAAGAGGCTACTGAAAATACAATTCCATTGGAAATAATGTTTCACTTCTAATTTTTCCCTTATAAAAAGAACTTTTCTAGAGAGTTTGTGTTGATCTTATATAGGGCCCATTTGGCATGACTTTTGAAAAGTCAAAAAAATGCTTTCGAGACCCAAAAGCTGCTTTTTGACCATTTGACTAATTTTATAAAAATGTTTATTCTAGTTAGAAAAGCTTTTGGAGGAAGTTGATCGAATGTGGCTTCCTTTAATAGCATTTCCGGTATAGAAATCTCTTTTAAAAATTAGTTTTCAAACAAAAACTAAGATAGAGCAAAAACAAAAACCATGCCAAATGAGCCTATAAAGACATTGATTTTCAGTTTTAATCATTATGTTATATGTTAATGTACTAGGGGAAAAACTACATGTGCTCAAGCAATTAAAAAACCTACCATTGTATAAATGGTGAATATTAAGTACCTCTTTAATCCTTCGCCGGATGTAGGAATAACTTTCTTCATCCAAGAACCGAAATGTGCCACCAAACTTGACCGTCTCAGGGATTACATTTCCTGCTTGACCACCCTCTACAAATCCAACTGAGATTACCTGCACAGTTACACATGAGCAAGAAAGATTTTTATTAACATATTTCATTCAAAACTAGGGGCAAGAGACAGCAAACAAGCCAAGTCTCGTTCTCAATAAATTTGGGCCTGCCTACATGAATTCCTTTTCCTTTTACATTGTTCTCCATCATTAAGTCCATGGTAAGATCCAACGCAATCAGACCATGCATATTTATTTAGTTTCCCCCCACCATTCTCTAACCTGTTCTACAAGGATCCCCATATCATAAAAAACCAATTGTTCTTCAAACAGGCACACAGAAGGGAAATAATAATACCCTGGCTTCTAAAGGATCAGTTTCTCGAGAAACAATCTGCTGGAGTGCGAGGATCGCCATAGAAAGAGCAATAATTGGATCTCTAGTTTTATGTGGGCTTGCTGCATGTCCACCTTTTCCTTGAATGATAGCTGAAAATCTGCCTGATCCAGCCATAATTGGACCAGGTTTCGAACTGATTGTACCAGTGGGCAAATGTGGTGCAACATGTAAGCCAAAAATAGCTTGAACTCCTTCTAGAGCTCCATCTTTTAGCATGTGATATGCCCCAGCATGACCTTCTTCACCAGGTTGAAAGACAAGTTTAACGGTACCCTAATATATAAAAATAGAACTTCAGAAAATTCCCATCTGATAAAAATACTGTAAAGAAATTGTCCGTTATAGATGTTATGTACACTGCAATTATTTAGTATCATTGTTTACCTTCAACTTATGGGATATGCGCTTCAGCAATTTGGCTGCTCCAAGCAACATTGTCACATGGGCATCATGGCCACAAGCATGCATTTTTCCACTAATCTTGCTCTTATGCTTCCATTCCACTAATTCCTACAAATCAACAATTTGTAAAGTTGTTAGATGCTTGACCAGTAAAGGGTTCTTTCTTGCAGTAGATGTATCATCTTTTCGAACATGAAAATTACAAGAACAATAAAAAAATTAATGAAAAGAAATCAAGCTCTAAGAAAATGTAGGCTTAGTGTTATAACTCTACACAGAGGGTACATGTGAGAGAATGCATTTTGGGAGAGAACCCATTTTTGCAGGCATCTATCACGATTTCTCAAGAACTTTTGTCGCCTACAGCTATGGAACCAATTGGACAGCCATTCGAAGTCCCAAACAGAATCTGAGTAATTGACTTCTCTACCTACCATTTAGCTCAGAAGCTTAAAAGTAAACTCATCTTCCTGTAATTCAATGTATAAATTGACAAAAGATGGTGTCACAAGGGCAGGATTGTTATGGATTTGGAGCTCTCTGATAACTTGTTTTATCATTTTTGAACATCAAAATTTTCAATCCAGTTTTTATAGCTTTTGCATTTTCGCTGCAATCTTACCATCACAAGAAAGACATTAGTACTATCATAATTACTTTTGAAAACAGACTAGTAACTACTTTTCTCCATACAAACTGGACTATCCATCCGGTTATTGTTTGAGAAATCTGATCTATTTTCTTGATTTCTCAACATTCTATTTTTCAGTTTAAAATTTAAAATTTCAGTCATATTTCAAAATACTATTTAGGAAATACTAAAGAAAGTCTACTCTTAGTTTTTCCATTACATAGGTATAACACAGACATGAAGTAAAAAAGGAGAAAACATAACAAAAAATTCAAAAATCATTCATAATGTCACCAGGAGGTTTTATAGGGTATTACATTGTTGACTTACTACAACACTTGGGGGTACCTTTATAAAGATAATCAAAAGTATTTTCCTTTTTACTCTCAAAAAAATGCATATACTTTTTGAGAAAATACTCTCAGAAAAAAAGAGACTTCATGATTTTCTAAATGTTTTTAAGAAAACAACATACTACCCAAGATTGACAACCTTCATTACGTTGTTGACTTACTAGTTACTACAATACTAAGTGATACTTTCAAAGGTGTTCAGATGCATATTCTTCAGACAATACTCTCAGAAATAAGAGACTTCCATGATTTTGTAAAAATGTTTCTAAGGACTGAAAACAACATACTGGCCAAAGGTGACTACCTACCTATTACAAGAATGAGGTAAAAAAATTTAACAGATAAGATTCACTTATAGCTCCTATATATCTGCCATGCATTTGTCTCCCACACCAGCAGATAATAAGAAAAATTAAAAGTGAATAACAGAAAATGGAGAAACAAAGAAAAAAATGAAGTGGACTAAATAAGTAAAGCAAAATAAGGCATGCAAATTAGCTTGTGTTATACAGGCAGACTCTCGGTAGCATTTCCGCCCAACTTGCCCCCACATTACCTGGTTTGATTTTTTTCCTACTTTTTCTCTCTTTTAAGGTCATACTGTAAAGTTATTTGCCATTTTCTAGATAAAAATAAAGAAGCATCATAGTTTACTAAGTTACTATGTTCTTAGATTTAAAGCACATTCAATTTGAGTTAGTATTATAGTGATGTTGTTTACCTAGGCATATACACCTAGAAAAACAGTAAGTAACATCATCTCCTTTACATTGATTCTTTTTCAAGCTTGTCCTCTTTTGTATACAAGAATGTTTTAAGAAAGATTAAAGTGAAGAAAGCCATTATCAAGGACATTTCCAAAATCCATTATTAAGTACCAAACTAACATAATCAAATAAAACTATAAGGAAAACTTCCAGCCTTGGTCTTTGATCTGGGTGCCCTATGGGTTCTTTAGTCTACATCCTAAACTCCTTTCAAATCCTATCTCACTTCGGAAGTTCCCGTTTGTCCAAGAATCAGTCTATCACTGCATCACTAACACTATATTTTACTTTAGAAGTTGAATGGCCTACACCATTTTTTGTTAGTGGAATCAAATTTTTCAGAGAAACTAGGAAGAATGGGGATCTTGGTTCTTGCTTTTTCATCTTCTTGAATTCCTTATGATTCTATAGATTTTTTCCCTTTCTGTTTGTACAATTGTTTTTCTTCAAGTTGTTTGCCCTTCTTTTACTGGCTTCTAAACAGAATTCCATAAGAAGCTCCTTGAGGAGTTTCTATCAAGAGAAGATTGATTGCACCGTGAGTATTATATTGACAGTTGAATGTCTCACTCTCGCAGGTGAATGTCTCTTTAATCTTGAAGTGCAAGAGTTTCACTAAGTGGAGCACACAATGGACGTAGCTGTGTTCATAGCCGAACTTCGATAAATCTTCTTCTTTTCTTTCTCGAATTCTTCAAATATTATCTCTTCTTGTTGATTTAGTGATATCGAGAATTTAAATGTTTCATTAGTCAAAGAACTTATACCTTCACGCTTTACTCACTAAACTTTAAAATGCTTTTGAGTGGTCATTGAACTTTAACATATTGCACACCATCATTCACTTACCATATTTCATTAGCCACTGAACTTTTAAAATATTTTCGAGTGATCACTGAAATTTAGTGCATTTTTGACAGCCATTAATTTATTTTATTGTTTGCTATAGGAGCATCTTCAACCACACATTCACACAATAAAATATTCTACAAGGATTCCAAAAATTTGTCTCTACTTTAACCACTCATTCTCCTAAAAATAATATTCAAAACTCTTTTTCTACCATAATGGTTGTCAAACATGTTCTTAACATATTGTAGTACATCACTCACTCGTTATATTATTTCATTGGTCATTGAACTCATATTTTTGTCACGCTTTACTCACTAAACTTTAAAATGGTTTCGAGTAATCACTGAACTTTGAAAGTTTTGAAGTATAAAATACTATACACGAAAACGAAGCCACTTTTTCCTCTTAAATTATCTTTTGCCAACTCTAAAAATTATATTTAGTTAGTCTTGATAAATATTATTGACTCTAAATCGAAAGTTCTATTGTCTGTTTGAGATATATTTTTAATTTCTTTGATTTGGGTTTATGATCTCAACTCAAATAAACAAATAATTTCTCTATTTTTATTTTCTCAGCGTAAAGGAAGATTATAAATTAAATAAAGATTTAAGTCAATTAGAAGTTAGCATTCTTCTATTCCCTTGAAGATAGCTTTTGATGACTAGAGAAATTAATATCAATATTCTCGTCTTAGATTGAGAGCCTCGTTATCTATTCGACACTTTATTTTATTTTTTGATCTAGGTCGAATTTCATAGAAAATCAACTTTACTTGGAAAAATTATGAAATTCAATGACCATTCGAAAGCATTTTAATGTCAAGTGAGTAAAGCGTGATTAATATATAAATTCAGTGACTAATAAAACATGATATGTGAGTAATCGAGTGCAACGTGTTAAAGTTCAGTAATCAATAGGAAGCATTTTAAAATTTAGTGACTACCCGAAGGTATTTTAAAGCTCAATATGTAGATATAAATTCAGTTAGTAATGAAATATTTAACTTGATATCATGTGTGGGTACAATTCAACTATTTGTGCACAGATTAGTGGATAAAACGTGACGAAAATATAAATTCAGTCACTAATGAAATATTTAACTCGATATCGTGTGGGTGTGCAATTCAGCTATTTATGCCCAATCTATGAATCGAAGCTATTTGTGCTAAAACTTGACGGAGATATAAAGTCAATCACTAATGAAGTATTTAACTCAATATCCTGTGTGGGTCTAGCAATTCAGCTATTCGTGCCCAATCTATGAATAGAAGCTTTTGTGCATAACTGGGAAGTATACTATACGCGAGACACTCCAAAAGGAAAAAAAAGTTACTATCCTTTTAACATTGAAATCGAAAAGAGCACAATTAGATGCAGAAAACTTTCAAAGATAACGCTCTTCCACTTTCCCACTACAGTCGTCATACTGTTTAATTAAATTAATCCAACTTCAGAGCTTCATATAATTATATAACTGTTCTATATGATTTAGTAAATTCAAGACTCCAAATGTACCAATAATAGAATCATCCATCTCAAACAAGCAAAACTATTTATCACCAAATCTCGAGCAAAAAAAATAATACCAACAGAAAACAGTCCTATTACGAGAGAGAAAGAGAGACCTGAATAGGGAGGGCATCCATGTCCGCTCTAAGACCGAACCAGGGCTGAGCCCCGGATCCAATAGTGGCCACCAACCCAGTTTCTGCCACAGGCCACTGGTACTTAATACCCAGCGAGTCAAGCTCATTTCTAATGAGTTGACTCGTCTCAAACTCTTCAAATGACAACTCCGGGTACTCATGGATTCTCCTACGAACTCTTTTCAACCAGCGAAAGAACTGGGCATCCCTTGCTGAGTCCAAAAGCTCCCGAGTCAACAACTCAGTCTCAAAACCCGGTAAAGAATGCGATTGTGACGATGAACAGATTGATACAATTGACAGTAGAGAGAAGCAAAAGAGCGTCCGAATCCTCTCCATATTGGAAAAAAAATTGCTTCTTCTTTCCGATGCCGTTGACAATGCACGGCTAATGGCCCCCCTAATCTTTTTATTTATTTATTTATTTATACATAATGTGTTTTCACCTCTAAGGTTTGATAATAACAAAGGTTTTTTTTCAAACATTAAAAACGCTAATTGAACAATTAGAGCGTCTCCAAAGCATCTTAGGTATAAATTATAGTACATGTTGACAACAAAAATTGTAAAGACTAAGGCTGCAGTTGATTTGGTGTTTTCGGGCCATTTTTCGTTTTTCGTTTTCAAAAATGCGAAAAACGCGTTTGGTTCGTCGTTTTTAAAAATGCATTTTCGAAAACGTGGTAAAATTTATAACTGAAAATACAAAACAATTTTTTATCGTTTTGAGCGTTTTCAGTTATAAATGTCCACAACGCGAAAAATGCTCAAAACGCAGCTTTTTCGGAGAAAACTAAAAATCGTTTTGAAACCGAAAATGGAAAATAGAAAACTAAACCAATCGCAGCCTAATCTTTTCAGCCAACTTTAAGAAAAAGAACTACTCATATCTATTCAAATAGTAGGTCTTTTTTCTTGCCTCCTATTTATAAGGGGCTTGACCGAAATTATATCATTTCAATCAAATCAGTCACTTGTGCCGAGCTCAGACCATATGCTGCCTATGTCTCCCTTAATTGGTTAATGAGGCCAGTAATTGTCACGTCACTGTTTTCATCAGGTAATAATGGACTGCAAGGGATAGGGGAGTCAAGACGGTTGATTGGTGGGTATAGGCGGTGCTGACGTCATCTTTTCACAAGTGTATGTGACTGAATGGGTGATGTGACATGATATAAAGAATCTGCAATGATTATGTCTTTTAAGGTTACGGCGACAATATGATCGAGCTGACCTTTTATTACCGGGCTCATGCATGTATGAGGTGGGTCTCGCAAGTAATTGATGTGAGACTAGAGGTCGGTCGTCAATAGACATGCCCCCAGGTCAGTGCTGCGTCGGAGGAGGACTGACCTCTGAACTCGATAGGTCATTTTCTCTGAAAATGTAATTATTATCGTGCCATGTGCCACATTCCTGCAGAAAATGAGTTGTACAACATTCGTGGTGGCTTTCTTGGGAAGCTTTTGTCAAAACGGCATAGTTTTGGCTAGGCGAATTTGATTTGTCTATTTTCCCTCCTTTTTCTCATCTAACGGCAACAACGAAATCTGTTGATATTATTTCTTTTTAAATACCTCTTGGCTTTTCATTTCATTTTTTTACTTTATACAAATACTCTCTCCTACTGAAACAAGAAATCTTCAATACGCCCTTTCTTCCATTCTTAGTGAGGTCATTGTTTCTCAACTCCTAGGTATTTTCCTTTTCAGAAAAAATACCTTTCTTCTCCCTGTTTTTCATCACAATACTTGTATGAGTTCGGACGAGTCGAGAGTGCATTCGTGGGTAATCAGTAGGAAGAGTCTATACCTCGTACTCCTACCTCTTCTTCTTCCTCCAGCCTAAGGCATCAAGAAGTTTTAACCCCGGTCCCGCTTTCCATGGTCAACCCAGGGGATTTAGGACGTCCTAGTGAGATGGAGCAAGACTTGGGAAACTTTGGATGGGAGGAAACGAGTTCCCATTCTGGGGATGACGGGGTAGTGTAGATGAATGTGGGTATCTTAATATAGGTCGGTTGTGACGGGGGATCTCTTGGCTGCTTGGAGGGCTAAGTATAATATTCCGAGCTTGGTAGATGGGGTAATACCAGATCCGTCTGACAGAGCTAATGCCCCACCTTGATGCTGTTTAGCCTTAAACTCTGCCATATTAAATGTCGGGCTTAGGCTTCCCTTTCCTAAGGTCGTCCTTAAGTTATTATCTTCCTTGGGAATAGCCCTGACTTAGTTATGCCCCTACGGGTGGAGGACGCTGATCGCCACCCTTATTTTGTGGAGAAAGTTAGGTAACCTCGAGTTGATTGTAGAGTAGTTCAACTCACTTTTTACTTTTAGGGAGGATGGGAAGAGCTTAGGTGGTGGTATAGCAGCCTAGAACAGGGACCTTTTAGTTTTGGATACTCCTTCATCTAGGGGAGTGGCAATTCCATTCCACCGAGGGAGGGATGATGTAGTTCGTACCCTTTATCACTCGTTGTGTAAGTTTTTATTTTCTTTTTGCTTTTGCTTTTGCCTATTGCCGAGTCGACTAATAATGCCTTCTTGACCTCCTCGTTTCATTACAGATTATAGAAAGGCAGCTTTGATCTCAGCCATCCAGAGGAGAGTCGAGGCAATACGAGCTCTTCCCAAAAGACAGAGGTCGTGTAAGTTCGTGATCTCTGATACGAACTTATTCCAGGCAGGATTACTTCGATCCGTCTCACCGACTTCTGTACCGATCAGGGCTCCAATACCTCCTCCACGACTTGCAGTAAGTGTTACTTCGCTCGTGAGAGTCTGTATTTTTATCTATTTCCGACTTAGATTGCTTGATGAAGTTTGTCATATTTATGTCTCAGGTCAGGATCCAACTATGCTAGGGTATAAAACTGCTGCTGCTAGTAAGCGAAAAAGGAAAGAGACCTCGGTTTAGCAGATAACTCTACCTTCTAACTTTGAGGAGGTACAAGAGGTTCCACCACTGAAGAGACACCAAGCTGAGACGGCACTGACAAGAGCTTCACCTGTGTTTATTTTCCCAAAACTATTATCGCCGAGGGCTTCGATCCAGAGGTCAGCTCCTGCTTCCCCTTCTTTACCCAGCTCTACTGGGCCCGATCATTTACAGTCGAGGGATATATGCCTCAACCTCCAGAGGCCAAGTTTGAAGGGCTTAGTTGGGCACCGGCCTGATATATTTTTAGATTTCCTCCGGGCTCCATCTCCGTCATGGGAATCCATATATGCTCTCCCACCTCCTTTGAGAGACTCTGCCGCCCTCCTCACCCGAAGTTGGAATGAAAGGGAGCAAGGCTTCTTGGCAGAGATGCCAGTTGGGAAAGCCATCATCTCCGCTCAGCTTCATTGCCACATATTCGTTCTACACATGATGTCGGTGGCTGAAAAGGTGAACTTCTTTTTTACAACATGTCCCGTTTTGGAATTATTTTGCGGACCTAACTGCCTTTTGCATTGGTACAGGTAAAGGTCGAGCTAGACAAGAGGCTTGAGGCGAAGGAGCAGGAGCAGGCCATGGGTCTTTTTAAAAATATGGAGGCAGAGTGGGCAAGGTTTACCATTAAGGAGATAGAGTACGAGTATCTTCAACAACATGGGCATGGAGTTGGAGGCAAAGTTAGCGTCTGAGCTGAAATTGATAGATAACAATGAGGTTTTGAGGATATGGGGAGAAAAGCCAATCAATGGATGGAGATAGAGAAGAAGAAAACTGAAGAAGAGAGAGCTCGGGCGGAAAAGGAGTAAGCTAAGGCTGCGGAGGATGTGAAAAAGGTCGAGAAAGCCAACATGAGAGTGAAGAAAGCAACAAAAAGAGTGGAGGAAGCTAAGGCCAAGGCTATCAGGGGTCTGGAGATCTAGAAAGAGTCCTCTGAGATCGACGCCTTGGCTCAAGACGCATGTGTCGTGGTCTTAGAAGATTTAATGAAACATATCCGCAGAGAGAGACCAGACTTCGACGCTACTTTCTTAGAGAAATCTCTAGAGGAGCAAAGGAAGGAGTTACACAGGCTATTTGAGGCAGTGGAAGTTTCGATCTCCCCTACTGAAGAAGACGTGGAAAATGATGTCTCTATTCCCCAGGACCCCTAGCCTCCTAAGATGCTAGTAATTATGTTTATCGTACTTCTTTGAGTTTGGTAGTGCTTTTTGAATAGCTCACGATCTTATGTAATGACTTCCAAACATTTGGCTTTTTGATTAATGTGAATTTATCTTTCATTATGATGCGTGTTTTTTACCAAGCGTGACCTCAGAAATTAAAGAGATAATTTTCCCAAGTGTCGCAGTATATGTGTCCCTGGGTTGTCTTACCTTCGAAGCATGGCTTAGAAGTTTCCCTTTTTAGCTCATAAGACTTAAGATTCGTCTATACATGGAGCGAGGGCTTGAAGAATTCCTTAGGGAAGATATCGCTCAAGTTTCGTAGCACATATGACCTTAGCTCCACCTGTATAGGAGCAGGGCTTTGAATAATTCCTTAGGAGGAATTTCGTCTAAATGTCGTAGCACATACAACTTTAGATAGGCCTGAATAAGAGTAGGGTTTTGAAGAATTCTTTAGGAGGAATTTCGTCTAATTGTCGCAACACTTACAACCTTAACTCGGCCTGCATAGGAGCAAGGTTTTGAAGAATTCCTTAGGAGGAATTTTGTCTAGATCGTTATTTTGTGGGAAAAAATAGGGTTGTTTTTCACAATACGGGGCCCACCTTCTAGTGTCAAACTGTTGACGTCAAAAATTTTAAAGACTAATTTTTTTAGCCAACTTTAAGAAAAAGGACGACTCATATCTATTCAAAGAGATTAATTCTTTTTTCTTGTTCCCTTTCTCTCGTCTTTTTTTCTTGCTCCCTATTTATAAGGGGCTTGGCCGAAATTATATCATTTCAATCAAATCAATCACTTGTACCAAGCTCAGACCACATGCCGCCGATCTCTCTCTTAATTAATTAATGAGGTCAGTAGCTGTCATGTCACTGTTTTCGTCATGTAATAAGGGACTGCAAAGGATAGGGGAGCTAAGGCAGTTGATTGGTGGGTATAGGCGGTGCTGACGTCATCTTCTACAAGTGTATATGATTGAAGAGGTGATGTGACATGATATAAGGAATCTGTAATCGTTATATTTTTTAAGGTTGCGACGACAATATGACCAAGTTGGCCTTTTATTACCGGGCTCATGCATGTATGAGGTGGGTCTCGCAAGTAATAGATGTGAGATCGGAGGTCAATCGCCGACAATACACAAATGAATTTTTTTATTCACTCCAATCAAGCTTTTTATGATAATGTATTTCCAAGAAATATTAATTTGTTCTAATCTTTTATTTAACATATTTTTTATATGTCAGTTGTCAATAAATTCAAATATAATTTGAATAATTAAATAAATAGAGTATTGAAATATGTGGTTCATTAAAT